TGTGTTCAAGTGTCGTATAGATGTGGTGTTGAGTGATATGGTTTAAGGGTGAGCTCGTAGTGCAGGGTTAACGGTTGGACTCGATGATCCCAAGGGTCTTTTCCAACCTGAATTGTTCTATGATTCTATGTTCTATGATTCTATGATTCTATGATCTCTAGAGGTCCCTTCCAACCCCTGACATTCTGTGATTCTGTGATTCTATGATTCTATGATCAGAATAAAGCTCTTGGAGAGAAATTAATTTGAAATATGATTACTTCAGTGAAAAAAGCAACATTTGAGAGCCCCCCTGAACCCAGTTCATTAAAAGCAACACTTACGATTTTTTGCTCAGAGTGACCACTTCTAATTTCAATTTGACACAGCAGCCTGATCTTGGAAAAGTTGCCATTTATAGACCAATGCAGAAGGACACTTGTAGAGTTGGTCCCAGAAAAAGTTAACATTTCTGGAGCTTTTGGATGAACTTGAAAAATAAAGAAAAAAAACCCCTCTCAGTTCCAAAGAAAAAGCATTCATTTTAGTTCTGAAAATTCTGATTTTAAAAGATCAAAGAGAATCAGAGGGATAAATAAGTGATGCAATCAGCAACTAGGACAGCTGGTGCTGGGAAGGCACCCACAAGGAGTCTCATCCTGATGATATTCTCAGCTATCAAACATGGAAACAGATTTACTTAAGGCTGAGCACACTGCCATGTGTGATAAGGAGCTGGAGACACTGAAGAGCATTTTTTATGCCCTTTTATCAAAAAAATAAACCATCAGCTATGTGGCAGATGAAAGTCACTCAATTTCATTCACCTTCTGGGAACTTTTTAAGTTAGAACTTAACATCTCCAGACTAGGACAGGATAGGACTCTTAAATTACCTCTTCCTCCCCAAAACTCCCTTCACAGAATTTTTCAGTAATATTCAGAACTACTATTCATAGCTATCAGAGAAGAAAATCTCTACTGTTGGTCCAATTACCGTTAAGGAAATAGGTACTCTATGTTGGGAATTAAATGGACAGTGAGGCAAAGAAAGGAAGGAAATAGGAAACAGCAGTGTATCAAGTGGGTGCAAATCAGGCACAATTTTAATAGAAACAAATTATGCTTTTCTAAGACCTGACAATTTACTCCAACAATTCTAATCTCAGGTTAATTGAATTGCAACACGGACAAAACAAATCTGTACCATCTTCATGTTTAAATTCAGGCTTTCAGAAAGACCAGCAGAATGCTAGTAATATTAGGAACCCCTGAATCCTCAGCTGGAAAGGTATGGGCAAGACAGCACAAGAAACCATTAGAGAGGTGGGCATCTTCTCCCTTTCACTGTTTAAACTGAAGGTCTAATGAAAGAAGTTATTTCTTTCTACTAATCATAACAGCACATCATTGAGGTTATGACCAGTATCAGGTAATATTCCTGCTATTATCTTTTACCTTTCAGGGCTACTTTCTTAATGCTCTAAAACTTTCTGTTGTAAAACTGTTACATCTTTTGCTCTATTAACAGACACTGAAATATAGGGTCACAAAGTTACACCTAAATTTTAATTATTCATGTGCAATAGACTGCAAGGTATTACATAACAGCAGCTGGCTAATTATTAGATTGCAAGTAGTGTTTATCTACACAGCATTGTGTCCAATTTGCTAGCATTGCTGTCAAGAACTGGCATTTTCCCCGTACACCTAATCATCACCTCAGGACATGAACTAAGCTACTTTCTCCTTAAATTCAGATTACTGAATACAGTAAAATATTGGTGACAATAAAGCAAAACAATAGGTATACCATGTCAGAGTTCTTCAAACACAAAACAAACAAATGGTTAGCATGCAGTAAATGGATCTTTTTGCCCCTGCAATTCTTTAGTCTTACCTCGTTGAGTTAAATCAATCAAAAGCGATGATTCTGCTTGCCCGATAGGATTGGAGACGCCCAGTATGAAACTGTAGGTATTTTGATCAGGACGGACGGAAAAGTTGCAAACACGCTCTCGGTTTGTTTCATCAACTTTGCATGAAACATTTTTACCAGACATTCTACAATGTAAAAAGTGGGGAACAACTTAATTTTTTGAAGAGATAATTTCTAGCAACGGTCAGAAGTCTACACTGAAAACACAGTAAAGAACAATGGGCTCACTGACACATGGCTTACAGAATGATTTGGTTGTAGAGGCATATCTAACACTCCAATGCAGGTTAAAGTGGCATCAGTCAAGACTTGCCCTGTTCTCACGTGAAACTTTCCTCTTCCACTAGCTTAGTATTTCCATCCTCTTACTTCTCAAAAACTTGGAAAACAAGTAGGTCCTGTAAAACCACCTCACAAGTCACAACTAAGATTCTGATTTAAAGTATCTTTGTTCAGATCAGCATACATTTGCATTTAAAGAATGTTCTTAATTGCTTTCTGAACTAGGAAGATAGGACACACATTACGTCTTTCTGTCAGCCCTGCCAAATCTAAATTAAAGTTTGTTACCTGGGATACGTCCACTAGTCCCAGATGTTCTTAAAATCAGAAGCAGAAAAGGCAGTCTGGTAACACCCAAGACCAGAATTATGTATTTAGGGGAAAAATCTAAAGTGTATATCTGTAGGTCTGTATGTATATAAAAGCCGCTTTAATTACAATTTCTTATTTGGCAGCAGAAGCTTTATTTCTTCCTTCAGGCGTTTTTATTGTATTCTAGCTGAGCTCTTAGCTGTCTCCACACCAAATTCTCTATTTCAAGCACTCAGTGTGGACTGACAACAAAGATGAGAATATTTATCCTGAAATGCATCACATTAATCTCCTCACACCTTTGGGCTGAGTAAAACAAGTCTGAACTACATCCTTGTTTACGAACTGAATATGGGCAGCCAGTGACTGAAGCTCCTTTCCTTTGAATACTTGCTCTGGTTTGTCTACCTCTTTGTACCCTACCCCATAACTTTTTAAGCACTAGCATCCTGGACAACATCTGTGATCATAACTCAATCCTCACTGCCTCTGACTTACTTCAAAGCCACCATGACACTCCACTTCCCATCAGTTTGTGCGACTCAGGCCTCTCCTGGCTCCTCCTGGCTCCTTTCCCTGACTGCTCCTTTGGCATTACAGGGCAGCCTCCTTGTCATGGGAATTTTCTTAACTCCTCACTAACTTCTAATCATAGAGTAATTAAAGTTGGAAAATACCTCTAAGATCACCAAGTCCAACTGTCAACCCAACACCATCATGACCACTAAATCATGTCCCGAAGTGCCATGTCGACACATTTTCTGAACACCTCCAGGGATGGTGACACCACCACTTCCCCAGGTAGCCTGCTCCAATTCCAAAACTGAGCCCTGAGAAACACCACTTGTGATCGGCTGCTCACTGGACTTAACTCCATTCCCCACAACTCTCGTAACCATCACAAAATCCCATTTGCAAGTGCAATTCCAAAACAGTGATTCTTCACTTTCAAGGCTTTACATAGGCTATGGTATAAGACAAACCAGTCTTCACTTCCTTCTGTGGGTGATGCCAGTGTTATTTGTCCCTTTCAATGTTTTCCAAGTAACATACATCTCCTCTGCTCTACACTGTCTCGTTCATAATGCTGGAAGGAGAATAGATGTAGGCTTATTTTCCATAGCAGCATTTGGGACATGCTCCATGGCCTGTCTTTCAATTGTTTCTCAGAGAGTTTCTGTCATCCTGCAGAGCAGAAGCTCACTAAATAATAATATGCCAGATCATGAACAGATGATCTGACACAGGTTGTATATAAAAACATTTTTTAAATTACTGAATGACTTACTATTTCCCTGTATTTTCATATTGGTCTTATCCACTTGTTTGCAACAGTCTAACACACTAAACCCTTTATTTTCTCATGAATTCATAATGGCATAAGTATTTGGGAAAGTTATTCTTAATTCCCAATATAATTTTGTAAAGCTAAAGGTTTAGTTTATTTTCAACTTCCACAAACTCTTGAAAAGTATTTTAGGCTTTAACCAGTGGAGACTATCTCATCCAAGTATGCATGGTGCAGTAGTCACAGGCAGAAATCGATATGTTTTAGTTCTACCCCTTCACTCATTCTAGTGCTGAAGTGGTTTACCTTTCAAATAAACTGTACTTTGTTCCTCGTTTTCCGTATAGTCCACTGGGTCTGCCTGGTTTCCAGGTGCATTTTATTGTCACGAAGTCGGACGTTTCACAGCTCAGGTTTTGGGGAATATCAGGGGCATCTGTAGCATGAAAGAAAAACAAAACTGTTAGCCAGTGTCTTGCTCTTCTAGTGGGAGTGCTGGCCTGTTAGCTTCCTGAAAGCATCACCATTAGTTTTTGCTGGGTCTAGATTGCATGCCTCACAAATGGTAATAATTATGCTCCAAACATACAAATAATATGCTTTTTAAAAAAACTCAATAGAACAGATGGATAATTATTATCAGCCCCATCTGACTAAAACTTGACTCTAGGCTTCTAAGTGGATGGGTAATCTGGTAAATCACACGCAAATACGCTCACAAGCTCCAGGCTCTGACCTGGAAGTGTTTCACTGAAACTCTGCCAAGACTTTTCCAAAATTCTGAGCGTCAGTTTAGTTGCTGAGCAATGTAGGAATGCTGTCAGCTGTGCATCACATTTTCTTATGTGCCAGTCCCACCACTGCTTTGAATTCTCCAAGCAAGTAACGTCAAGGACGTGTTCCCTTTAGCATGAATTCCACACCGAATTTGAAAGTTAAAGCAAGTCCTTAATGGTTTGTCCTCTTCATCATCACTTTGCAAGTGACCATGTTTTTCTTTTAAAGCTTGTTCACTGCTGCCACAGAGCAGTGTTGAGTGCATCCCTGGAGAAGATGGCAGTGCTCCCAACAGAGACATCTCAACATTCCAGCTCTTCAAAAGCCACTGTATGGCACAAACTTACATGATTATCACAGCTTTTGTTCATGAACCACTGATTTATTCACTTGGTAGATTCTCCCACAAAAGCAAATACTGCATAACTAATGTAAAAAAAGGCATCTCACTGAGAAGACATAAAAGCTTGGATCCTGTTTTGCACTTGCTATCACACACTTAATAGACAAAGTCAATGACAGGAGGCACAGGCTGGAATTGGGAACACCCTCTCAAAACGAGTCCAGTCTCTCCTCTCCTTTCCCTCAACCTCAAGGACCCTAAATTCAAAGGCAGGCAGTTTGTTTGAAGAGGTATCTCTATCCGAAAGACATTTCTGAGGCTGGCATGGTTACACAGACGAGGCACACAGTGACTCAATATCCTCAAAGAAAATACTAGAATATTAGAAGATTTTCCAGGAAGGAGGAACCGTTAGCTGAGTTCCTTTGTTGTAATAAACTGCCAGGGAGCTATTGCCCCGGCTGACCACCTGTTGTGTCAAGTCTAACTGTTTCATTGTCTTTGTTTGACTGATTAGTAAATTCATGTTCTCCCTTAAAATTCTTGATCTTACTGTTGCCTTGTCACAGATCAAACTAGAACAGATGTAAACCTGAAGTGGTAGAGACTGTGGATGAATCTTCAAATGGCAACAAACTACTAAATATTCCAAACGATGCAGAAGTGCCTTAGAAAAGGAGATCAAGGAGAGAAGCACTGGCCAGGTTCTAAGAGAAAACGGGTTCCTTCTGCCCAGCCTTGGTGTCTTCTCCATGGGCTGGAGTCTCCATAGTGAAATCAAACAATTACAATCCCAGTGCATCCTCAGAAACCAAAGGCCAGGAAGAAAGAAGTCACAACAGTACTCGTTTCCTATAAGAACCCTAAGAGTCTCAAAATGATTTTGATCTTCCTAAGGTTCATAAGTATAATGATACGTACATCCGACAAACAGGACAGTTCCATGCATCTCACATTCAGACAGTCTGCACACTACATTTGTCCCACTGGCATTTGAAGCACTGGCATTCAGCACTCTGATGGCACTGCTCCGACTGCTCAGACGTATCATTGGGTATATTTCTCGTCCATACTTCATCTGTTCTATCTCTTGTCCTTCTTCATGGATGCAGCAAAACGTCACATCTGAACCTACTGCCACCACAGAGTCCTCAGGAAACATCCCACTCCCACTGGGCTCAGTATCTTTTCCTAGCAGAGGAGGAAAAACAGAAAACAAACAAAAAAAATAAATTCCACATGAATAATTTGCTGCAAACACGGTGCTTATCAGCTAAAATGTGACTGATGAGCACTTCAATGCATACAATACTAGGTTTCATCAACTAAATATTGCATTTCTCTAATGAAAAAAACCCCAAATCAGTATCCCACCACTGCCTAGCGCTTTTCCTCTTATCTGGGACTACTTTTCCCAAAGCAATCGAAGTTCATATGATGGCAAGGGAACTAACATACCAGGGACCACTTCTATTGCGCTCCAGTCACTCCAGTCCTTGGGGCCAACAAACTGTGTTACATTGATATAGGAACGAATCTTCACATAGTGCGATGTACACTCCAAAGGCATATCCGATGTCCAGTTCCAAGAGAGAATGACATCTTCTCGTGTCAGTTTTGAATAGTAAATTACCTACAAATTTTTCCCAAAAAATAAAACAACCAAGAGAGAGTTTATGAACACCTGTTAGTAATGACACACAATCTCCCAGGTGCCAACAGAATGGCAAGTTAAGTGAAGTAAATCATAAAACCCTGACAGATGGTTGGAGTGTCCCACCTAAATTTCAGTTCTGTTGTGAACTTATTTGGATGAAAGCCTAAGACGCTAAGCAGCCCACCAACCAGGTAGACTGCCAGTTAGAAATACCAGAGGGCAGACATTTGAGAGCAGGAAGCTTGCCAAGCATTAAAAAAAGTATAAACAGCATCCCAGTATCCCAGGCCTCTCCTAAACAGGGAACTTTTCCAGAATGAAACTCTTCTAACATTAGTCTCAGGTTGCACATTTTATCTTTTCTCTATTTCTGAAAATTATAGAACAGAGTTACAAATTGTCCTGGAATAACTGTGGTTGCAAAAACAGAGTAAAGTGAACACTCGAAGACCACCAAGACTTGAGACACTGTTAGAGAAGTAAAGCAGAGATAATGTGTAAAATATCTGCCAAATTAATAAGCAAGTCCTAATATAAAAACCCACCTGTACTAGATTAAAAAAAAAAATGCTGTAAAGTAAGTACTTATAGTATAGCAGCCAGTGTCCTCATAACTTTGAAACTTAAGCAGAATTTACCTACCAGAAGCATGATTACACTCAGGTTCTGCAAAGCTCTACAATCTTCATTACTCTCAGTTTTCTTCAGTTGACCTCCCAGAATACTACCAAGGGCAAAAATTGTATGTATACCTTTTGATAAAGGAAGAAAAGGACTTACTTGTGTGACTTTCTCCATTGTTTCTTTACGGAGTATCTGAATCTGCCAGAAGGCATCCAGTCCATAGGGGAAGATTGATCCATTATCACTCCACTTCAGATTTAATGTGGAAGTCGAGAAGTCAGGTGTTAAACTAAGAATGCGTGGAGTGAGAGGAACAAACGCTTGAAAAAGAGAGGGGGGGGAAAAAAGCCATATTTGAGTCATTAGTCAGCAATGCCAGCCCTACAGGTGTTTAACAGCCACATCTCTCTGCTCCAAACTGTCTACTAGCCATACAAACATGTAACTCAACCTCTGTAATTAGAACAAGATGGGCTCTGTCATTACTTGAGCATGAAAGTTCCCAGGAAAGCACAGGTGCCGGTGAGTCACCAGGTAGCTTTTTTGTCAACATCTCAGCATGCAGATGTGTGAGTAACTGATCATGAATATGACTCTTCATAATGCATGGTAAGGAAGACAACTTATCTTTTACAACGTTTATTCAATGCTGCAGAGATAAAGGAAATATGGCAACAGTCTTTGAAGTAAACATGAGAACATATCGAGGGAGGATGACAGAGAACATATCAAATGAAGAAAATGAGGTTTGGAAATCAGCCTTGAAGAGGGTACTTGTAGCAAAAGTGAGGGTAGGGAGAAAGAAGAGCAGAAGAACAGACTGGAAGAAGCTCATATAAGGCTCTGGAGAAGATCATGGGGAATATGATTTTACACTAGAAGAAATATTAAAGCATAACATACTGACGGGCACAGAATAGGGAGATTAAACAGAAGCATCTCTTCTATAAATAGGTGGTGGTGGTGAAGCAAAAGGCTGAGAAGCAGGCAAGGATTACTGTAGTACAAGGGTTATGTCAGTTCATTGGGCCTGGTGAAGGATAAATTCTGTTTTTAAAATGTGAGATTTATCCAACTTTGGTCCTGACCAAGGTTCTGAGAGTCTGCAAAGTATTCAGCACAGTCAACACACTATCCAGGATAACCTGTTATGAATCTGAGAAACCCATCCTTCCTAGAGTCGACAAAATGCTGGACAACCCAGTGTCTTGCCCACGTATTTTTCAGTTTTGTTTTGTTAAAAGCAGAATTGAGCTGCTCTCAACTGAAGAGAAAAACTGAGCCGTGGAAAAGAAATGCTCCTGACTTCAGAATTTGACTACACTAAAGGAATATAAGCAGGCAAACCAAAACCAAAGACTAAATAATAAGCAAGCACAGCAGATGGTATCAATGCCATCCTCAGCTTACAACCTCCTCCTTCGAGAGGAAGGACTTGGGTAAAAGTCTGATTTTTCTATGACTCCCATATGATGCAGCCTGCCTTCAAAGCATAGATGTATTTGTTCAGCTTCATATGCATTTGAGCATAATGCGTAAGTCAGGTATATACACGATCCTGTCATAAGTGATGGATGATATAATTTCCCTTAAAATATTGTGACATTGCAGGAATAAACTACTTTATTTTGTAGCTATTCAACATTTAAAATGAGAGAACAGAGATTAGGAAACTTGTTCTGCCTTTCCCAAGCCTGATCTGACCAAATGCACTTCATGCCTCATGCAGGCACCTCTGAATGTAGGTTAGGAACTTGTTTACAAACCCTTCCTGATTTACAGTTTGGGAAAAAAAAAAAGGCAAAGACCGATTAGGGGGATGTAAAAGTGTTGTACTTCATTTTCCTCCTCACATTCTGCCCTTGATTTCTGTGCAATGATCTGTGGATAAGAGAGGTCTTCTTTCCCCTGAAGGGGCAGAGGAAACAATCTGTTGTGTGTGGTAGATTCATAGGCACTCAGCACATCAACATTTTACCTACAGGAACGCTGCCAAAGAAAACTGCAAGCATACACAGTTCTGGAGCATGCTAATCATTGTATAAAAGCCTTATGTCCACACATACCTGATGTCCACAACCTGATACTTACAGATGTCTTTCTTGTGAATTCTAAATTCTTTGGTAGCAAAAGCAGTTCCAGAAAGGCTGATTGTGTTTATTGTCACCATGCTGGAGCTCTCTGGGACTGGAATCTCGACCCTTTTCTCCTTAGTTTTAAAACACAGTGGAGAAGGGAGGTCACTGAAAAGACAGAGAGGATTAAGCAGGTATTTCAGTTGATAGGAAGCTAAGTCAAGTTAAGTCCTATTGCTAGAATACTAATAAAACACAAATTCTCTGTAATGTAACAGAGCGCTCCATATCAAGTTTGTGACAGAGTAAGACTTGCATCGGCTTCAGTCAGTATCAGATTAACAGGCATTCTCTCATCTTCCAAGTTACTTTTATCATAGTGACAGGCTTGTGCACTGGTTGTATAACACAGCCACCCAGCTGTTAAAAGAATGCTTAGAAGTGAAGAATCGACTTTTTAAACAAAAGATGCTTTCCTGAAATCTATAGTCACTATGAATCAATATTTAAAAACAAGCAAAACAACCCCAAATCCCAACAGCACCTCCCTCTCCCTGTATGTCTGCTGACTCCCTCTCCTTCCACTTCTTCTCAAAGTGGTGACATACAGGTGCAAAGCGCAGGTTTACCCATATGTGTTCCTACCTTAAAACAAATCTTTTAGCTCCCTTCTGTTGCTCAGCTTGGGGGGGAAGGAGCAGAGAATTGCTAACATTCCAGATGCAAAGGCAGTCTGTGCATCAAGTTTGTGCAGTGCTCAGCACAATGTGATCTGGCCTTTGTCTGGAGGTTGTAGATACATACAGGAAACAACAATGGATGGGTCAAGTGCCTTTGCTCATTACCACTGATACACAAGTAGAAAGGCGAAGAAGTGGAAAAATCCAGGCCTTCCTCTTGGGGTAATGATAGGAGGAAGGAAAGCAGAGAGAACAATGCCAGACTTCCTGCTGAGGGATCATTTCTCACTTATGAACTTGAGCTTGGAGCTCCCATTGGCTGGAGTCAAAAACTTGGGTTGAACTTTTAAGATTCATGTGAGACTCTGGGCTAGTGAAGTCCAGCTGAGACTTGAGTGCTCAGAAAGACTATTCCTCTTCTGTACTGAGATATTATTAGGCAACTG